CAACATTTCTGCACGGTTAGGAATATAGCGCCACCTGCTGCTTTGGCATGTTCCTAGCAGCGTTTTCCTTCATTTCTGCCTTTACGTGTGGACGTAGCCCTAGTTTCTCTTTGTGTTTTCTACCCCTGTATTTAAGTTTCCCTCTCCCTGTTTCATGCTGCGTCTTATGTTGTCAAGTTTATATTGCCTTGTCTGCGTCTCATGTTTCCTGTTTTATTTTGAAGGTCTGTGTCCTATGTCAGTGTAGTCAGCTTTGCTTCCTTTGTCTCGTTATGTCAGGCTAGTGTCAGCTGTTTCCCCATGTGTTTCCACCTAATCACCCTGGTGTGTCTTTGTGTTTCTGTTCATTCTTGGTCAGGTCGTCTGTTGTTCACACCTTGTTCTCCACGCCATGTTTCTAGGTTTCATCAGCAGCAGCTGTGTGGACACAGTTCAGGAGGCCAACCATGCAGACGGCAACGGCGGCGTGAAAACAGTTCAGGCGGCCGGCCATGCTGAAGGCAGTGGCGGTGACAAAGCCGGTCCGGAGGCCGACCAAGTGAAAGGCAGTGGCTGCGACAAACTCGTTCAGAGGCCGCCCTCGACAGCTCCACGGACCCTCCAGCGCAGACAGCAGATGGCTGAAGCGGCCCCTCGGACCCTCCAGCGTAGACTGGCACAGAACCAGCAGCACGGAGGCCCCTGGCAGTGTTGATGCTGGCAGGAGCTGAGCAGCACATTGGTTCGGCTCAGGCAGCGACAGCGGTATGCGAAGTGTTCACCAACACACCCAGCAGAGGACGGAGGCGGATGGGTGACCTCGCTGGAGCTCTCAGCGGGTGATGACGGCTGAGACTGCTCAGAGTTCCCAGGTGAAGCAGCTGGTGCTGGTGTCTTAGCCTCTAGGGGTCGCTGGCTCCAGGAGGCCCTGGAGAGAGTTACTGTCTCTAAGAAGGCCAGCGTTTGAGAACCAGCAGATGTTTTAATGAAGTGTGTTCCCTGCTTAGGATGAGTCGTTGAAAATGGCTGAATCACTGAGTGGACTGACAGTTGAGCTATAGGCGACTGAGTGATGGAGTGAGCAGGCAGTCGAACGAATGGCTGAGCTAGCGGCAACACAGGAGACTGAGCTGTGGATTACACTGGCGGCCGAACTAAAGGGTGAGACTGTACGAGCTCTGAGCTCGTTCAGCAGTGGACTTTTACCCCCACAGTGTAGGACGGAGGCTACCACAGGTCGTTCTGACAGCAGCTGTCAGACTCTATAATGCAGCTTAACATGCTTTTGGTCGTCTTACTCACCAGTCTGTTTGTTCACTGTACATTTTATACACATCTCTGTTTCCTATCCTGCACATTGTTGCCTGTATATACGAACTTCAGTTGCTTATGTTTA